CAATGGGAGATGTTCTCAATATACGGTGAGATATGGTGTGGGGTGCATATGTGAATTCACGACTTACTGATAGCAGATTAGAGAGAGAGAGAGTGGAGCATTATTTCCTTCATGCAAGTAGATTAAACAAGACAGTCAAGATGATTAGAAAAACTGAAGGAGCTGAATAGTTATTTATGGAAAGACCTGACATTGCACAAAGAAATGGGCAATGTATTAGGTTGTCTCTCTTTTTATCCTTATGGGGTCTCCTGAACCCCACCAAGCTGTTTGTCTTTCTCTATCGATTTAACTTTACACTACTGTACAAAAAGAACAAATGGGAAGAGGATAGCTAGAAAATTAATATATGATATTACATCAGCAATTATATCAAATAAGAAACTTCCAAGAAATTCTGGGCAAGCACGGCTTTGAGTTAATAATTGAGAGTTGATATGCATTTTGACTCTTTAAGCTTGGTATCAAGGAACACTGGAGTACCGGGAGAGATGTTTCAACTTTTCTACGAGGCCCGAGAAGATCAAAATCATCGTCGTCTTCGTCGTTTAAGTCAATCATATGGGGTCGGTTATATGAATCATGTTTTGTCATTACATTCTGTTCTGTTTAGTACCCAATATATCGATTGTTAGATTATGAACGCTTAAATGATTTCTCACTAATCTAATTAAACAGAATGAGAAATCATTCATTAATCTAATTCATTAGATTTCTCATTCATTAGTACCCAAGTGTTCCTTGATTTCTCATTAGCCAGGCCCCTTTAAATGATTTCTCACTAATGATTTCTCATTCATTACATTCATTGCTGATGTAATCGATAGTACCCAAGTTCCCTTTATCTTCTGGGGTCGGTTATATGACTTTCAGGCTTTATCTTCTCTTTCTCATTCATTAATCTAATTAATCTAATCAAATATTCAACAAAATATAACCTCAGAACTAGGATGACTAGTACTGACCCGATCCACCAAAACATCTAGTTTCCGGGTTTTGGCTGGTTGGTCCCTGTCATGTCTGAGTATTGTATAAATTATAACCCAATCCCGATTGACAATTTTCGGACTCGACCAGAAATGACCCGCCACCGACGCAATTCAAGAAGCATATTTGCAATAAAAGGGGCCTGGCTAAGGCTAACTTGCCGCATTCTCCGGGCCAGCTAGGCCAACAGTCAAAGGCAATTCCAATCTGGGTTACAAATTTCAACCTCCAGTCACAAGTCACAAGACGCATTCGACAATAACATGCAACCATGGTTTGGGCCATACCCAAAACCCGGGTGGAGCATCCAATCAAATRTCCTTTTCTCTCTGTCGAAAATTAATAAAACTGCCCATGAAAATCCGAAAGGGTCATGGATTGGAAACCGGATTCAGTCGATGCAAAGCCCGTTTGAACACCCATTATAGCCTTGTATCGAGAATATCTCCCCATGAAATAAAGCACAGAAGTGCCCAATGCAAGGCTGTAAAAGCTGTTCAAACGGTATTCGAACGGCCTTGCACTGACTCAAACCTATCTCCGTGGATTGAATGGTTGCAATCTTTACAAGGGACACTTTGGACAATTGGAGGGATGGTTTGATTGGGGAATGGGGATGCCCTGTGTCCCTCTCCTCCTCTCTGGTCCTCCTCAACATTTCATGAACTGTCTTGTTTTGTGTTACTCGTGCATGAGAGGACTACAACTGTTCATGCCTGTAAGTGGGGCAGCCACGCTCACAAGCATGCATAGATTTTAGAGATCCTCTCGTACTCTTTGGAGGGCTGTTTAGTCCTGCCCTGTGGGGCAATGAGGAGGGGTGTCCTAGTATTGGACAGCCCTTAAATTGGCTAGATCCGATCGGGTCCTGCCTACAAAGTTCCAAACCCGTAAGCTGACTTTAAGTGCTTTGGTGGGTCTCCCCTTTCCGGTGAGACCGGTGACATTATAGTTTCATACACCCCCCAGGCCCCCAACCCCACCAGAGGTTGTAAGTCACAATGCCCAAAGGGTACGGACTTGGGTCACAGTTTGGACGTATCACGTCATGCTTGGACACATGTGGGGAATTTCAAGCCATGTGGGCCCATCCTCCCTGCAGCTACCGTACACGTGGCATACTACTTGATTGTGACCAACCATTCCGTGGGTGACCACCAACAACTTGGGGTGTTTAGTGGGCGAGATCTCTTGTCATTTTCTTCTCACTGCCCAATAACAGCTGCAACAGATGAGAGACGTACACACCCTCTTCATGAAACACGGTCCTCCAATTCTGGTTTGGGGATCGGTAGTGGGTCCCATCCCCTGCATACGCCACGTGTACGGTCGATATGGACCTGGTAGAAACCCGCCACATATTTACGATTTTCCACCCTGTGGGCCGTGGGGATCCGAAATATCGGTTGGTAGGAATTGGGATGATCCAATCCCAATCCATCAGAGTTCAGACATCAGTCTATCCATTTGTCTATACAATTAGCCTTGGCCCTCACTCTGTCACTCAGCCAGAGAAATTTATGAAATGAGAGATATTGCAAAGAAAGCTAGTCAGACACGCCTTCCATTTCCATGGGAAGGGGTGTAAGGGGTCGTGTTACATCACAATCGAATTTGATCTGAACCATTGAAGAGGTGTGTCATGTGTGGCCCCCATCTAAGTTGGATGGGTCAAACATGATTTAGAAAAAGAGAAATGATGTTAGATCAGGTAAGATGATGTGATGATCAGGAGGACGTAGAACGTCTCAATTCATAGAAAGCAACAAGAAGTGGGCCAAACAAATCTATTGGATGGTCCGGATCACTTGGGCACCTACAACAATCAACAAACACCCCCCATACCCAATTACCCATGGTGGTCAGTGGTCACAGTTTCTGTTGTATACAAGGGCTTTACACAAAAGTTGAAACCCACCACCCTCACAAAAACACTTGAGTGGGCTACCCTGCCCATAAAGAAATCCTGTCACCATCTACATTAGAGACTGACTGACCTCATCGCCATTAAAAACAAAGATACAACAAAACCCCCCTCAATAATTTCAATTTAGATTTTATTGGGGGTAGGGGGTTTCTACCTTCTCCACACTCCTTATCCAATCTTATAGTTATTCTTACCCACCTTCTCCCTCCCAAAAAAACACTAAACAAAAAAAGAAAAGCCCAGTTAATGCAAAAACAAAAACAGATAGAAACCTTAGAATCGCAGACTAAACCAAGAGGATTAAAGAAGCTTAGGGGCTTCAATTTGAATTAATTATGCCCAGAAGCAAATATAAAATCCCACCATTATCGAGGTTGTTGTTTGCAGGGATTTTTAGAGGATCGTTTTCAAGGGTACCGACGTGTTAAATTTGCTTTCTTTTTGAAAGAAAGAAAAGAAAGAAAGCAGAATAAGATATGATTGATCATCGTCTTTGTCCATACTCGGCATGTTCTCATGCAATTTTTAAATCACCCAAAAAATTTCTAATGTATTTTATTTTCTACATATTAATGAATGTTGTATAGATTATAGACTTCTATTCCCACCTGCAACATGGTCTCCACATTAAATTTATGTTTGGTGATAAAGAAATGGAGGCCAATGAGGTGAAGAAAAAGAAATGAAGCTTAAACTAATCATGTGGAGGTCCAATCGAACATGAGGCATGTGGATTGATTGGAGAGGTATTAAAACTATCCACACCAATAGCAGATTCAATGTACAATAGTACAATTGTTAGCAGCTTAGAATGCATAAACAAATATTATGTTCCACAGTACGCAGAGGCGAGAGGACCACATATCATCCACTGACCCCACCTTCATTGACAAATTAATAAGAACTCCACAAACAACAAACTAACAAAGCGTGTTACGCGTTACAAATCATAGTTGCACAGAGAGAGAGAGAGATGGGTTTAGTTCTTGAAGGTTATATTAATGTCCATAAACCAAGATTTGACAACTGGAACTGGGTCATCATAAACATCTGATTACAAGACAATTTCCAACAGATGTGATTAGTAGAAGGGTCTGGATTTGATCGTCTCAAAGGGCTGCTGCTTATAGTTTCCAACCTCGATTTAAAGGCAGTCTCTTTATTCTATTTCTATTTGTGTTAATCCTCAAAGGTTTCAATGTTGGGTTCCAGAGATGACGATCATTTAACAAGGAACAAAACTTCCTAGACAGATTATCAAGGCCAAGTGTTTAGTAGAGACACAAGTATGAACAGGATAAGCATCAAAATGAGTTCTTCAATCAAACACGAGATCCCAATAAATGAAACAGAACCGGTTTCTCAAAGTTGAAAAGCAACAAAATTGGGATCAAGACCAACCTCGAGCATACTAACAGAACTAATTTCTCACATGAACACTTTGTGAAGGCAATCATCTAGTTCTCAAGACAATGGATACCCCAACAATTTGACTATGCTCGAATATCCGACCATGGAGCAGAAAAAAAACACCTGGAGAAAAGAAATTAATGGCGCCTCTACTCTATATTATGGCCCAAGACCTAGAACAATTGTTTGATTCAGAGGGAGAGGGAGGGAGGCAGAGTGCAGTATCAGCAATATATAGCATCAAACTAGTATGTTCTTGAAACTTCTAACAGAACCAGCAACCAAACTGAGACAAAAGCAAGAAGCAATTACTAGAAAAAAATCATTAACAGAAAAACCAATATCCAAATTCTAACACAGTATACTTTCAGAGCCCAAGAAGTAAAATTGCAAAGCATCCATCTGACTGCACCATAAACGAACTCAACAAGAGAGAACAAGCCGCATAAGAAAATTAATTGTAAATTTTCAAATCATCAGCATAGGTAAAATTTTCTCTATATTATTCTCTGGAAAGAACAAGGAACTATCTAAAGCTAACACCAGCAAATATGGAGGGAAACTGCAATCGCAAATTAAAGTACCAGAAGAAACCAACATCTATATTAGCAAGACAAGTAATTGCCACGGAGAAATCCATCATCAAATAGAAGGTAGTGTAAGAGATCAGAATCAATTAACAGAAAACTAAGAAGAACTGATAAAAACAAAAGAACTTGGCACATTTATCACCCAAAATAAATAAGCTAAACAAACATGTTGGGGGGGGGTCAATTCTTCCATCCATTTCCATTTCTGTTTTTGCCTTGTTGTCAAGTGTACAACAAACCACCACCATGTTAAAAGAACTACTTCTCAGTTCTCACCATAAACATTAAAACACCTTAGCGGCAATACCCATGTCCAAAATAGAGACTGAAAGAAAGAAAAAATAAAAACTGTACTAGAAGTTGCAGTTTCTCAATGTTTTGCTTTACTCAGAAATAATCTGTCTAAGACCACAGAGACAATGAGAAGACGATAATTACGCAGGAAGGATATCAGAGAACAGGCGCCACCCTCGTAATTGAAGATTTATTAAGATTAAAGAGTAGAATAATAGGTTCGTGGCACCTTGATAACGAAAACGAATTTGGTAAAACCGACCTTCCTGCCTGTAAAAAATGTCGCTCCTCAGCACCTCCAAGCTGATGCCGAGACCAGTTCCCCACGCTGCCAGCAGAGAATGAGAGAAGCCTGGCGTTTTTCCACGTGGAATCCCCTAACATGAAGCCTCTTCACCAGGCATTCAGCCTGAGTCTCAGTGAAATTAGTGAACGGCACGGGCGAGAACCCAGCTGAAGCGAATACGTTCCTCCAAGGTAGCATCTTTTCAGGGGCACGTTGTCGCCCCAGTACAATGCCCTCAATTCTTGGCTGGAATAAGAACTTCTCGATCTTGTGGACGGCATCTGAGTTAACGTTTACAGCATCAAGAGAATCCAGCAAAATTGAGAATGACTGAAGGGAATAGAGGAAGTGGTGTGAGAAGGGGAGGTCACTGCGGTCGCATCCTCGGTCAACAGAGACCACAATTTTTGGGGAGAGTTGTTTCACAAAGCGTAGGAGGGAGGGGACAGAGGATAGTTGAGTCACGGAGGACCCGACGGGAAGGTTCACTGCAACTGCCTCGCTGTCCGACACATGAAGAGGTGCCAGTGACCAGGAAGCTGGGTCAAATGAATCAAGGTTCACGATGTCAAGATCGAATGCGATGCCGAGATCGTTAGCGAAATGGGTCAGGTTCTCCCTAGTGAGACGAAGCTCTAGTTGGTCGTGGGAAGTAGGGGATGTGAAGGCGGTAATCTTCAAAGAAGGGGCACCACCAGGCTTGGATGCAAGCTCCTGCATGAAGGAAGCCCATTGTCCACCAATTCCAATATCAAAGTCAATTATGTGGATTCGATCAGAGCGATCAAGTGCTTCAAGAAGAGCCTGGTTGCAAGTGAAATTCGCAAATTGCAGGAGAGGAGATATCTCGGAGAAGGCCTTGTAGGCGCCAATCTTGAGAACAACATCGAAGTGGGTAGAGTTCCTCGGGGAAGGAGAGGTGGCCGTGTTGTTGCTGGTAAGGAGGAGCAGTTGCAGGGCCTCCTTGAAGTAGAAAGCAGCCCTTTGGAGGGGCTTTCCTACTGGGGAGAGCTGGTGATTGAGCCGCGCCAATATCCCTCGCGCGTGTACCGAGTTCCCGGCCTCGACCAGCTCGGCGGCCTTGAAGAGCTGGTCGACCAATGCCTGCTGCTGCTGATGGGCCACTTCATCGCCTGTACCCACCACCTTCGGCTTTGTCGCCATCGTCGTCGGCCTTTGTTGAAGATGAGGAGGAAGTAACTGGAGCTGAGGGAAACCTTGTTGTTCTTGTTGTTGCTGCTGCTGTTGCAGCTGTTGCCTTCGCAGGAAAAGTTCTTGACCCGAATCGGCAAATGGAACCTTGGGGGGGATCTGGCAGCTTGGGTCGATGGCCGAGTGGGGGCGCTTCGGTTGGGGAGGGAGGAGGAGGTGCTGCTCCTGCTGGGCATACGACAACGGCACAAGGAAAGGCGGATTCTGAGGATGATGGGCTTGTTGCTGATTCATCAGCAGTTGCGGATTGAAAAGCTGAGGCTTTTCATCAGCAGGTTCAAGCTGCGGTGGTTGTTGATGTTGCTGCTGCGGATAAAACACGCCAGGAGGAAAAGAAATAGGGAGAGGAAGATTGTTAGCTGAAGGAGGGAAAATGGGGTTGGGAGGGGTACCGTTGTTATTCGACGCAAAACAAGGAACCTTGTAATTAGGAAGAGGAGATGCATTTGGGACTGAAGTCACTGAACCAACCCTTCCATTTTGATTGTTGCTGTTGCTATTGCTATTGTTGTTTGGCGGAAAAACAGAACCAGGAAATGCCAGAGAAGGATTAATGGTACCCATGACGTTACCGCTCAAAGAAGCGCCTGCCCCAATAGATTCGAACCCAAAGCCTTGGTCGACGATCCCAAATCCCCCGGCATTGCCTTCGAACTCTGAAGAACCCCCACCCTGCAATAAGTGCTTCAAACCCGAAGTTGGGTCGTCCACATCGCCCATGATCCATCGGAGGAGAGACTGTTCTTGGCTTGGCGAGGCCGCAGATTCGGACAACACGCTCTCCCAATCTTCCATTCCGAGTCCACATTTTTCCGCTCCGGTAGCACCGCCGCTAACAATCTCTAGCGCAGTCGGAATCGGCTGRAGCTCCGAAGTCCATTCGTCCTTCCGGGAACCACCAACACCACCCCCAACGCAGCTGCCGGACTCAGCTACTGCAGCCGAGCTGTCCTCTTGCTGCTGGGTAGGCGGCCATTTCTGTGGAGGGTTGTCGGAAACCGCCGCCACGCCGGCTGTGTCGGTTGAGCCGCAGCCTCCGCCCAAGGAAGAAGACAGGGTTGAGGTAGATGTAGGGGGGCTTGGGCTTCTTCTCGTATCCAGAACCGAGGTAGGCTCGTTGCCCAAACAGGTAGCTTCCTTCTTCCACTTCGCTCCTGATATCGAAGAAATCTCTGCAACTTCCAACACCCCCTTCCCCTGCAAATTAAAGGGCATTCCCCTCATCTAAAAATCAAAAATACCTAGAAACCAAAAGTCTCCAGAAAAACTAAAAGAAGACCCAGATGCATACAAAGGAAGAACAGAACAGAAGAGCACGGCAGAATGGGCTTTCAGATAATATTCAAAGACAGCTACACGAGTAGGTTGTCGAAACAAATTTGTCAGCCATTAACAGAAAATATCAACATATTTGGAAGGCCTGAGATCGCTGTTCAGTCGGACTTCAACCCCACCTCCACTTGTTAGATGCATGCACCCGAAGAAACCCATTTCACCAGACACAAACCGCTGTTCTCCTCTTCTTATTCTTCTTCTTCTTCTCTATCTTCTAAGTTATTTCTCAATCCTTCTCCGCCAGTTCCATTTCCTCTCTATTTGTTTCCTTTCTTTCTTTCTTTCTATCCCTCTCTAACCCTCCTTTGTTCTTCTCTTCACTTCTCTTCTACCCTCTTGTGTCGTAGCAGTACTCTGTACCCTTCTCTGTTCTGCCATGGATGCGTGCAACATAAAAAAGGTGATAAAGTGCCCTTACCCTTACCATCTCTCTCTCTCCCCCCGTAAACATTTTCCTTTTTTTATTTTTTCAATTTTATGTGGCTTGTTCTTAGAAGTATTTCTCTCTCTCTCTCTCTCTCTCTCTCTTTCTCCCTCCTGGGTTTTCTTCTGCCACCGTATACAGTGCCTTTTTCCTTTATTAATTTTCTTTTTTTTGGTTTTTTTCTTTCTGTTACACAGACTCAGAACCCAATAAGGTAATAAACCACCCTGTATATTATATTAAAATAAATCAATAAAAAAATAAATTACGTCGAAAAGAAAATAAAGGTTAACTGCCCAAAATACGATCTTAGCTTTTTTCTTCCAAAACTACCCTTACTGCTTCTCTATTCAGGAATCATGGTTATTCACGTGTAGATAACACGGAGGATCTTTTGGTACTTCTGCAGATGGTTGCTTTTGTGGGTCAGGTTTTCGAAACCAAATCTGGTGATCTGGTTAAAAATATCGTGATTGAATCGAAGCGAGAAATTGATGAGATGAAAAATGTGTGGCTGTGATCTGAGGACGGACGTTATAATGTAACGGTTGTGGCAGGGGCAGGTCTCCTGAGACCCATCTGAGTAGTGAGTTCCACTCTCCACCAGGCATCAGTTCACCACCAATGGCAGCGGAGCTCCGGTGTTTTCTTTTGATTGACCGTCTTGTCCTGGAGCAGAGGAAAAAGCTAAGTAATAAAAAAGCAATGGAGTACGGGGCCTGTAATGAGCAGAGCGGAGGGGCTTTATGGTCATTTAAGAGAAGAAAGGGCTGATTTGTCATTTCAAATATTTTCTCTGACTCTGGTTGTTTAGGTAGGTCCTACCTAAGCGCAGCTTCAGACAATCAGACTCAGACCCCAGAGTACATATTTTACACTGTTGCGCGGTGGCACGCATGCAGAAGCGTCTGTAGGCCCCTTGGCCAAAATGTCCTTATGATCAAATGATCCTGACCATTCGACCTCGGGAGACCTCCTAGGTTAGGAGTTAGGACTTAGGACCAACAAATAACAATAAAAGGGAGAATGTTTGGAAGTTTTCTTGGCACAAGAAATCTCTTACCTCTTGTCTTGACAACTAAAAAAAAGAAAGAGATCCTGATCCAACGGTTAGGGATGCGATGCTTCTTCCTTACCCCACCATAAAAGTCGAGCGATTGGTGCAATAGATCCAAGAGACGATACCATTATCTCTCTCTCTCTCTCAAAAGCAGATATTTCGTAAATGGGCATCTGGCARCCACTGTTAACAAGAAAGATACGTATTCACGGCGAATAATAACAATAATGCCTCCAATGGACTTTAAAGCTGCTATTAGTAGCTTTTAATGCCACAGAAGTTGAGTTAAAGCTCCACGATTATCATAATGTCCACGTCCACGCAAGAGTTTGCCCTTTCTATCCACATATTTTACTACTTTCTCCTAGTAACTTGTCGAGGACATTTTGAGATCGGCTTCGGTCAGTGCAAGTGCAAGGATTCATCAGGAATATCTCTCTGTACATCTATACTCGAAGATATTCCCAATGGAAGGTTATGATGACGGTTTGAACGGGCTTTTTACACTGACTGAGTCCCGTTTCGGAGATTTTATATCTCAAGTTCTCAACTGGGGTCAGCAGCGGAGACCAGACGTCGAGTTCCGCTTTTTTGGATTGTGTTTGGCTTTAATGACTTTAGGAAACATTGGATTTATTAATGCAAATTGATCTTATTAATTATTTGAAACTCTAAACAGCAACAATCACTCTCCACATTCATACTTTCAGTTGAAATGACACTTTATGTAACTTGACAATTCATCTTTCACGTCAATTTCTATTAATAAATCCGATATTTTATGAAAATTTTGCAATGATACCAAACACAACATTAGTGGCTCAGTTGGTAGGATATCTGGGTCATTGGAACTTGGAAGAGAGATTTGGGATCAAAAAGGGTCTAACAACCTTCACAACATATAACAGCCTTTGTAGCGAGAAAAATCTCCCTAATCCTTTATGGTAGGTTGTGTTTAGTTGTAGTACAAATTTATTTCCATTGATGCAAAATCATAGTAATATAAATTATTTTAATACAAATTATAGTTTATTTTTTTTTAAATCTTACCTTGTTTTGTTTGGTTGCAGTATGTAAAGCAAAAAATTTAAACAAAATATCTTAAACCCAAAATAAAATTAAACCAAAATTTGCATTCTTTTTATTTACACTCTTATGCATTAATACCAGTATAAATAAAATTGTACTGCAACCAAACACAGCCTAATGTACAGCTGTGATGATCAAAATGGATAATTCCCGTTGTGTAGCCAATGAATCAACAAGAAAAAAGAGTCCCGATTTATTTTTTAGGCTTAAAACATATTTCATTCATTCAAGAAATTGATACAAGTGCATAGACTTGCTAAAAACGTCAATCAAAACCTAAATATAATTTCTTATGAAGAACAAAATATAATGTAGGAGAATAAAAGAACTTCTGCAATCAAACAAAGGTGAAAAATCACCAACAGAAGTAGAAAAACAAAATTTCAATCCACCATAAAATGATAAGAGAAAAGAAAGGAGAGGTTCACAAAAGAGATTGCAAAGAATCGGTAATAGCATAGTTAGGATAGATCCACAAAAGATGACAGAGCCCCAAATATTATAACCGATACCAAATACTGTAACTGCCTTCCATAATGGCATTCACCAAAGAATTGAGAATGAGTCCCGACTTTTTTTAGTATCGGAGAATTGAGAATTGATTTGGGCATTGTCGCCAAATCCAGCCCTATTCTGGGAATGATAATTTATTTTTAAGCAGTTAATCAATTATTGGAAAAAACACTTATTTTAAAGCAGAACCACACTAATAAGCACTTGTATGATTTGGGAAATAAGTCTATTTGGAGTAAACTAAAAATTCTGACTTGTCTCCAATCACTTATTTTGTATTTAGCCCGTGGGTTAAAACAAAATTAGAAAATGCATGAGGACATTTTTGTCTTTCAAATGATATGAGTTATTTATTGACTTTTGATTGGCACGCCTTCTCTAAAAAATGAAATGCGCCAAAATTAATAAATTATCCAAAAAAAGTCAATAATTGGCATTAATACAAATTTTCTTTTAAAATCATTAATACAAAACCATTAAAGAGATGGAAAAAAAAAGAAACAATTTGTGGATGTGCTGAATTTGATTGGACAAGACCATGGACAAAATACCAAAATAACTGCTTGTTTTATGCGTAATTATCTAAGTGTCCTCATTGGTGTTGTCCACTTCAATAGTGTTGTTGTTTGATCTTTGTTTATTAGTGTTAGTAGAATGGCTTGTGCGGTGCACGGGGTATTTGATATTGATGGTGATGTTTGATTATATTTTTATATCTCGGGCATAGATGAAATTTTATATATCATTTACGAGGATAGTAACAATGTTTCGTCAAAAGGCCTTATTTTTTACTTTTCATTTTTACCCTTTATGTTTTTTATTTTTCCAATTTTATTTAATTTACGGGTAACACTTGTATTCGGATAAAGCAAATAAAATAATAACAAAACCATCGTGGAACCTACTCCTCTCTCCCCTTAGGCCTTATTTGATCTTCTCCCAAAGCACCTACCTCATGAACCTCTTCACTTATTAGACCCAACATTTGTCAAGTATCGGATGGTTTGCCAAAACCACGAATTTCAATTGAAGGAAGGAATTTATTTTTTTTACTTTTTTATTTTCATCACCGAACAATCAGTTAGATGATTAAATGATGCTTTTTCTTTTGTTTTCTCATGTATTTTTTTCCCATTTCCCCTCTATTTCGATTGTCGTTGTTAATGTAATAAGTTGCATTTCATTAGGAAATGTTTTTCAGGTTCATTATATTGATTCTCTTTTTAGAAAACGAATGACTTTTCAGAAAAGGCAAAGGTTTTTTTTTTGCCAACAACTGTTATGCACCCTCATTTAGAATTGGGATATGTCGGAATAACCAAAAAACTAAGGTGTAGAATTAGTATAGAAAATCAAGGTCTTTCGACCACACTAACTGAATCATTCTCATTTTCTTATATATGGTAGTAGATATAATTTTTTATTTTATTCTACAAATTTTGTTCATTTTTTCTGTAATTTATGGTTTTCTTTACTTTTTGTGATTTATGTTTTTTCTTTTTTTCTTTTCTATATTTTTTGTAAACTTTCTCCGTGTTTATTTGTTTTTTGTAATTTATGTTATTTTCTTCATTTTATGTGTTTTTTCACAATTATTTTTCAATGGCAATATATACAATGGGAAAAAAATATAAAGTTGAAGGTGAAGTTAGAAAGTAAAATCGGGGTCTTTTGACCAAACCAATTGCAACATTCTCATTTTTCAGTGTGGTATAGATTTGTAATTTATGTTGTTTTCTTGAAGTTTTATTTTTTTGTAATTTATATTATTTTCTTCATTTTATGTTTTTTTCATAATTATTTTGCAATGACATATATACAATAGGAAAAAATCAAAAGTTAAGGGTAAAGTTGGAAAGTAAAATCAATGTGTTTTGACCAATCCAATTGTAACATTCACATTTTTTTAGTATATATATGGTATAGAAACTTCTATGGTTTTCTATATTTTGTGTAATTTTTCTATGTATTTCTTTGTTATTTTGTAATGTATATTATTTTATTCATTTTATGTGTTTCATAATTATTTTGCAATGACAATATATACAATGGGAAAAAATAGAAAGTTGGAAAGTAAAATCAACATGTTTTGACCAAACCAATTGCAACATTCTCATTTTTTTAGTATGGTATAGAAAATTTTATGGTTTTCTATATTTCTTTGTAAATTTTTTGTGTATTTCTTTTTTTTTTGTAATTTATATTGTTTTCTTCATTTTGAGGAGGAAGGTGCATAGGATAAGAGATACACTATTTCTGCTTCTTCCTTCCTACTGTGAAGTAGGGGGAATGGATAAGATATACACCACATACAGAGGGGTTTAAAGGAGAGAACTAGGGTTTTAGAATTTATGTCTTTGCTTCATGTGTGAA